CAAAAATGGGAGAAGTACCCAGCAAGCACCGGAATGTAATAATGCATGGGTGTGTCTCAAAATGGGGCAGCGGCATACCCTTTTTGTTTTTTTTGATATTTCATGGGGACTACGATGATTCCAGTAATCATTCAGTGACAAACCCAGATCTACCAAAAGGGCGAGAGATTCAGCAACGGGGCAGTGTGGTCCCAAGTCTGGCTGAATTATGAGATACTAAGAATGGGAGATGGTCCACCAAGTATTTGGTATTTGCTCCGTAAGATGAAAATGGGGAAGGGTAGGTTGACGGCTTTTTTGGCCATGAATGGAGAGCTGTATGACCAGAAAACATATTTTTTCTATGAGTATCTGAACTATTTCAAGTTCAGGCAGTATAATCCAACAAGGGCATTCCGGTCACTGAAAAGATAGGTCCAGTCCATGTCCATGTGGAATCCGTCTTTGAGTCACAAAAGAATCCCAAAAAATGTCTTGCAAAAGTTGATTGTTGGTAGTTTGGATCATCCCAACTGACTCATATTTTTCAGTCAACCACCAACCAGTGATTGTTGTGTCTTTTCGGACGTCAGTTCCTATGAATTCCCGGTTGCAGGAGCATCAGGAGCTCCAAGCTCTGGACATGGAGGTCACGAGTTGCTTCTTGGAGGTCGCGAGAAAAATCGCTGTTGTTTCATGGTGCAAATCCCGTCCCCAAACAACGGATGACTGTGGGTACGGAAACCCCCATGTTGAAGTGTAATATATATAACATAATATAATATAATATAGTATAATATAATATAGTATAATATAATATAATATAATATAGTATAATATAGTATAATATAATATTATATAGTATAATATAATATTATATAGTATAATATAATATAATATGATACAATATGATATAATATGATATAATATAATTTAATATAACATAATATAACATAATATATCATAATTACGTGTATATATTATTATATATATTAATATATACATTATATATTATATATACAAAAGCCATGGTCAAGTTGGAGAACTTGCCCAGTTCTTGATGCTCAGTCCATGGAGTTCAGGATTCGGCATGCTCATTACAAGGATTCTGATGGCATGGTAATCACCATGCGTGTACCCCTAAATCCTGGGGTTCAACAATGTTCAACGCCTCATGTTCCCATTTAAATTGCCACTGAAAAAAGGTTCTTTCAAGTAAAAAAACTAAAATTTCATAATCTCTTTAAATTGTCATCAGTTTTTTCCAGGAACATATTTCATTTTTGATGTAAATTTAGCATTTTTCGACAAGCCCAGGTGATAAGTTCACAAGATCGTATGTCCTCTCCGGAAACCGACCATGCGTTTGGTGGATGGTTTTTGGAGTCATTTTTTACATTAGCTACAGAAACTCAGCATTTGGAAGAAGTACCCTCTGGTAAACATTCACATAGCTATTGAAAATGGCCATTTATAGTGAGTTTTCCCATAAAAAAATGTGATTTTCCATAGTTATGTAAACGTTTAGCAGAGGGTACCTCCAGAATTTCGGCCATTTTGGCTATGTCAAGAAACACCGCTACACTTTCGGCCAGGACTGTCCGGAAAGCCCAAAAGCGCTGGAAACTTCACTTGCCGAGCATGAACCAAAGGACGGCACGGCTGGGGCTGGGGTGTCATGCATTTTTATATACGGGTATATAAGGGGAATACAATGTGTTGTTATTGTTAGGTCCTCGCATTTTTTTGGTACCCATTATTGAAGGCCTTCCCAGAATGTCCCTATGATTACAATGTGTAGCTTTCATGATACTGCCATCGATTTTGTCGCCTCTAATGCCGTTCCACTCAGAAAGTGGTATAGAAGCCAGGTGTTGAGGGATCACATCCGATGAAAACAATTACGGAAGCTGACCATACTTAACGATTATAGTGAGATGATGCACATCCGGCTAGTTATATTTTAGTTATTTACCACTAAAATAGGGTTTATGGTAGGGGTCAATGGGGTTCATAAATCTATAGATAATGGTGCAGTTATCATAAGCACCATTTAAGAATGATGTATGATACTCGTTTCACTACCAGTAGCCATAGATGATATTATATCCACCATATATTATAGTATATTATAGTATATTATAGTATATTATAGTAGATATCTTATAGCAAGAATGGCTCACCGTGAGTACTTGTTTTCACCCAGCTTTTTCGCTGCAGCCTGAACTCAGGAGGAAACTTCGACGTTGGAGGTTGGTTTCCAGAAATGGGGCTACCCCAAAAAGGGGTGGTTTATAATGGAACATACTCTTAGGAAACCTCCATGTAAGTAAATCGAACATAGCTCTGGAAAATGTCTCATTTGTAGATGATCTATTTCTTAAAAAATGTGATTTCCGTCTAGTTGTGGTAGTTCACCAGAGGGCAAGAAAAGACTGGAGCATCATTCATTGTCAACTGGTTAGCAACTCATAGCTACTTGGATTATCCATGATTCATCATGATGATCCTGAAACTTGGTCCATTGATGCTTGGTCCATTGGTAACTGGGTAAAATTAATCCCACAAACGTTTGTAGGTACCCACGGAAACCTGGCATCAGCCCAGGATCATCCCCAAATCCCTTGTTTGGTGGGTCATGTCTGGGCAACTTTCAGATGCGCCAAGTTCAAACATTGGGTTTTTGAAGCATTTTCCTCCAAGAGAACAAAGTCATTATCCCACCTTAACATACGCATTCTAGAAGGAATCCCATTATTTGGGTATGACCTTACAATGTGGGGCCCCACAGTGATGTTTGTTGGTTTATAACCCCCATTAAACATAGTTATCTGCGTATCATAAACCAGAGTTATTGGAGTTATGTTCACCAACTGAACGCAATTTCGTTTTTTTGGGGCCCCACGTTGTACCTTCATCGGTAGATCTCAGGCACCCGACAGAAGCGCCCCGGAGGGAAGTTCGCCTGCATCGTCGCTAGGTGCGGCGTCGTTGAAAGGGTGGTGTCACGCAAGCTGGTTGGTGGTTTGGAACATTTTTTATTTTTCCATGTATTCGGAATAACTGACTACTATTTTTCAGAGGGGTAGGTCAACCACCAACCAGTGATTGTCGTGTTTGTTGAGGAGAAGTGGCCAAAAAACAGTGCAGTTGTGGCTCAAAAACAGGGCTCCATCTAGTTGAGAGATTCCAGATTTAAAATGATTTAAAGCTCATGTAGCAAAGCCAATAGCAAAGCCAATAAGAAATCATCCTCAAGCTTTAAAAGCCCACCAGAAATGTCTTGGTTAAAACCATCATCCCCAAGCGATAGGCATCTGGTTCTGATGCACTGAACTTCCCGGATCAAGATTTGGTTGATGTTTGGGCATGGCAAGCAGCTGGAGAAGATGTTTGAAGCATGGTTTCGGAAATTTAAAGCTCACTTTAGGGCGGGTCTGGAGGATGAAAACATATGAAACGCACTGCATATGACAACTGAGGTTTTATATCGGTTTTTGTTTAGGAGAAAGAAGACCATGAACATTTTAAGGTTTGCCTGAGGATGGTTTGATTTCCAACGAATATCTTGAATCAACATCACCATGAAACACATGCATCAGGCATCTCTGCAAACAAAGGATCCACTGAATGAGTCTTTCAAACCTCACCTCGAGAAAACTCGACCGCCAGAAACCAATTTCACCCCAATGGTTTAAAGGATATATTTGCTCATTACTGACATGGCTATACGGCCTAGACCTTCAAGTGACAAAACAAAAATGAACAACAACTGCATCAAACACATGTGTATTTATATACCTATTTGTACCTCATCAAAGGAAGTTCAGCTAGCAAACTTCCGAGTTACGGACGATGGTCATTGTTAGCATTCACACCATCATGTCAACCTCAGCATCAAGTAGTAGAGTCCGGGAGTGTGTGAATTCAGGGGTGAAAACACTTTTGGGCGCAAAACCCTGTGTTTCTACGGGTATGGCAGCTCCTGGGGTCGCGAAATGAAAGTAGGGTCTGTGCTTCCGCGGCGCGGGGGGCGTCGATGTTGACCAAAAAGCGCATGAGACTCTAGCGAGAGCTCGATTTCACCAGAAAAACGCAAAATACTGAGGCGTTCGGAGCAGCGCGAAAAAGCAATAAATTAGTGAGTCGATGGACCAATGAATCACTGAATCAGTAAATCAATGAACCAATGATTCAATGAAACGACCATCGAATCAATGAATCAGTAAAATGAGGCAACGAGGCAATGAGTTGATGAGTCAATGCCTCAATGAATCAGTGAATCAATGAACCAATTTTATTTTTTTCTTGCAGAACAGGGTTGGGCATGCTCTCTGCTCGCAGCATCAACGCCGCCATCACTTGGGCATTGATGAAATGAATGGCGCTGGGACCTGGCCAGGAGCGATAGGTTCACTGATTCAATGAATCATTGATTCACTGATTCCTTGATTCATTGATTCGTTGCTTCGTTGTTTCGTTGTTTCCTAGACTCATTCATCCATTGTTTCACTGATTCATCGATTCAGTGCTTTATTCAGTCACTTGTCAATGGATTTGTTCATGTAATTTCACTGGAATCTCAGGCACCATTTGCATTCGTTGATGCACTATCTGGTACTCTCGCTGTACTTTAAACTTTAAACCATTTATCCATGAGATGTGGTTTCCATAGTCATGTGGCTCATGTGGGTATCCCAATAGCTGGATGGTTTATACTTTATACGGGAAAATCCTATCAAAATGGATGATTTAGGGGTACCCCCATGACTTAGGAAAACTCAATTTTTCGTCAACTGATGGTCTCTTCTTGCACGCTGGCGCCGCGCCAGAGCGTGCTGATCAGATGGTCACCTGGGAGGAAGATTGTGGATGCCCAGGCCTCGTAGCTGAGATTTGTGATCGCCCAAAAAAACAGTTTGAGGATTGGGAAAAACAGGCCAGAATTAAAAATTGTTCATTCAAGTGGTTCAAAACTAGCAAATGTTTCAAGTGGTTTTGTTGATATCTCCAGTTGCCATGAGTAGCAGCTGGTTAATCTGAATCCGTGCTTGTGGAAATCTAAAGCCGTCCGTGAATAATTACCCAAAATCATGAACAGAAACTAGAGACGTAAATGGGATCTACTTGGTCCAACCTTTGGGTTTGAATATGAACTCAGGAATCTACTAGCGATTCTAGTTGCAAACGTTGCAACGCAAATATTTGAACACAGCCATCTTTGCAAAATCTGACAAAAAAAAAAATCCCATGATTTCTTGGTTCCTTGCAGGCAACCCGAAAAAAATGCACGCATCCAATGATTTGGCCCAAAAAAAATGGAGGCACCGATAGATTCACGAAAATCCCGGCCGTACGCCATAGGAGCCTCCGTTCACCAATAAAGGTATTTTAACTCTCAATTTCAGTACAATTTAGCCACTTTTAAATTGGGCATTTCGAGTTTGCTACAAATTTCTGCCATGGTCAAAAAGTTGCATTGTATACAGTACCTGTACTGTAAATTATATTAAGGGATGGTCATCACTCCAATGATGAAGATTTATAATGATGTGTACATCATTATACATCCATGCTAAGGATTCCCATAACTGGATGGATGACCATAAACCAGACCCCCATGTAACGTTTTGACCCTATCTATCATAAACCCATTCTTGAAATTGGAGTTGTGTTTATCAACTTAGCTAACATAAATCAAATATAACAGTATAAGTATGTTTTTTGGGTTGTGGGGCACCATGGAACGTACCATATTTATTACCCAAGTCCCACAGACTGAGTGGCAGAAAATGGTCCTGGGCTCCAAGTCACAAGGTTTTGCCTTGACGGCCAGCACTGCTGATCTAAGCTCCGGGCTGAGCAGCTGGTGGTTGGGTTTAACTTACCCTTTGGTAAACCATTTTTAATAGCAACATCAACCAGGTAACCAACTATGTTAATGATTTCAATAGGATTTTAGGTTTTGTTAATGGCCTACCTGACCACTTTTTACTAGCAAAATCAGCTATAAATTGGCAATTTTGAAGAGTGTTAAGTTTACCAGAGGGCAACACTGATGTTTGAGAACTGGCACATTTGGTTGCTGATAATCCCTATGGGCTTTTGGATCCACATACTTCCTGAGAAAAAGACTTAGCCCCGTAATCATACCCCACAAAAAAGTGTCTTTAGAAGGTACTTGGATCATCTTGGATCCATACGGAATACTAATAATGATCATAGTGACGAACAAACATCATGATATCTATAGTAAAATGTGGGAACACCAATAATAGTATTCAGGCTTTGAAGGCCAAACTTTGACCGATACCCTTCATTTTGTTGGAGACAAATCATCACTGGTACAGTCTACTTGCCCCTTGGGCAGAACTCCTGTTTTTGTGGACAAGAAAGGTCACCTAGAAGCTGTGAGAGACCAGTTGTTGTGCAAGACTTCTTTTGTTCGGGGTTCTTGGTTATCAACACCCTGCTGTTGCAATCAAGACCAAATCTACGCATGTATATATTATATATTCATGTAGTTTAATGTATACTATGTAAATATACATATGCCTATCATCGTGCTTCATCGGCCCTGGCCACACCATAAAGCATTGCTTCAACCTGGGTGTGTGGTGAAGTTTCGCCAGTTTCCATATTGAATTGATCTTGATCCATTCGTTGGAGGCCACCAATAGACATCCATATCATCACCCATAGGATCCATGTATGGTATATATGCTAACATTGGGGGTATATTGATGGTAAATGTTACCATATATAGCATACATGGATCCTGTGGGTCAAGCAATGCCATCCTGGGGGTCAATCCAGCATACCTATTTAGTCATCCCTACTGTGGATGGGCCAGCGAACTCCTTCACCAAGAGGATGGGAAGAATACCACAAAAAATCATGGGATGATGGTGATGATGTTGACCGGCGTTTTCATCTGGTGATTCGGATTTCGCTGGCGCATCCACTGTATGTTTGAAAGATCAAAACATATCAAAACCCCTATCACCACCCACCTCAAACATCTGGGGCTGTTGAGGCCTAGTAGACAGCCCAGTCGCGGAGGCGTGCAACCAGAAATCACCAGCATGAGTAGCATCCAGCAGAAATCCCGGTAGCATACAGAAAGTGAGGGAGTTGAGAGTTCCACCTTCTCTGGACATCCAAAGATGAAGTGTTTTTTGGGTCCAAAGAACATCCTTTGTAGGAGGACTAGCCGTTGAACTTCATTGAACTGCAGATTTCAAGATTTCTTACACTTGTGGGATTACATACAAATCCTTCAGCCAACCCTCGATTTTTGATTGGCAAGCCATACCAGTGACATGGACAGCGAACACACACCATTTGATGACCCTTCTAGACGCAGCCATCATGGGCTATACTTCCATACGCCCACATTGACAATCACAACTAGTAACTAATCACATATTACATAAAGCACCGATTATTTGATGGGTTTCCTACGTTCATAGGTTGTTATTTCATATGTTTTGCTGGAGTGAATCAACATATTGCAATATGTTGCTGCAAGGTTGGTCAAGTCCTAATATGTGTATGTGGTTGGTGGTTTGGAACATGTTTTATTTTTCCATATATTGAGAATAATAATCTCAACTGACTTTCATATTGTTCAAAGGGGTAGGTCAACCACCAACCAGGTATGTGTTTTTTTCGCTCGCCTGTAAGTGTCTTTCTCCTGGATTTGTTTATTATATACATGATATTAGGGGATATATTATATCATATCCTTTGGTAAACTAACATAATTATATACCATATACCTGGGTTTCTTTAAGCTGATTTTTCTTATTTTCCCAATGGGAAAACCAACATTTAAGGGGAATCTATGCCGGGGATATGTAGAACATGTTGATGTGATTCCTCAGCCCAAGTTACGGTCAAGTTATAAACAAAAACTGTTTAGTTTTTTTCAAGCTGGTGAGATAAGCTAAAGTATATGTAAAAGTTAAATCACCAATTTATATGTAGATGTATAAACAATGATCACCAATGTATATTGATTAATCTAAGTTATATAAGTTGTAGAAGTTATATTAACCAGTTAAGTTATATCTTTTTGGTGAGATCCTCATGGCTACTTGTTCCATTCAAAAAACGGTGAATCTACAGCCAGGCTGTTGGCGATGGGAACAGCGTTGTAACTTGGTGCTGGGCCAGTGAAAAAGATGTTAACGTTTAAGTTGATTGGATACTCAAGATTTAATACCACCTGCTGAAGATAAACTCAAGATATTTAAATCAATCCAGGGATCCATCATGATCCATCAACCTCTCTGGGTGTTTTGTTTACTATATTATCAATGGCCATTTCAGGTTCCTAAACTGGCGGTACCTACCATATATATAAGGTCTACTGTTTAAGCCTGTGTAAGGGAATATCCCTACAAAATATGGCTAACAATATGGTACTAACGTACCTCAATTTTAGGTACCTGAATGGGCCATTGAACAATTAAAGGGGTTATATACCTGGTGTATTGCGGATAATGATCATCTAATAGGCATGCTTATGAACCAACCATCAGTTCACGGGATGGCTCAATGGGAAATCACCTGGTATGGCGCTCAGATACATTTAAACAATTTTAAACATTCTCAAACTTGGCGAAGTTTGGTATGATCACTTACCCATAGGATCCATGTATGGTATATATGCTAACATTGGGGGTATATTGATGGTAAATGTTACCATATATACCATACATGGATCCTATGGGTTATGGGGAGTTTGCAATCTTCAGACATACTGTACGGTATACAATGAGTAACACCTGCGCACAATCTCTGAATAGATGGCGCATGTGCGCCCCGACCACGGGATTTCAACGGCTCATCACCCCTTAGCAAAATTGTTCCAAAGTCTCCCTGAAATGCAGGATCTTTACCTCTTCCGGATTTCTTTACAGCATTTCATACTAAATTCTTCTATATATTTAATGGATATATGGATATGGATTTACAGATGACTTTTCCATTTTCAAACATGGTCATGTTCCAGCCATCTGACAATTTGCGTTCCCTAAAAAATTCCGCTTCGACGGCGACGTCCGAGGCCTCCGATGTCTCTGACACGGCAGCTCAATGGCACCCGCAATTGCGGGACCCCAACATTTCTTCAACATATGGGGATTTCGGGATCCTGCATAAATGGATGAGATTTATATTGAACGCTCCAAGATAGATTTATGGAGAATTTCGCTAGTCATGGGGGTAGCCTCAATTCTCATCCATTTGAGCTCCTATATTGGTATCATCCATTTCTATCAAAAATGTAGAAAATGGTGGTACTATAAATGGATGATTTATATTGGACACTCCTATTCAAATTTGGATGAGTTGTTGGGGGTAGCCCAGATGACTTAGGAAAGCTCCATATGTTTGAAAGGGAAACCGATGTTGTGGGTATGCCTCTTTTAGGACACCTCCCCGATCTTTCTCAAATTTGGGGATTGTGGAATGATTGAACCAATATCATGTTGAAAACAGGAAAATTGGTGCCCTGGTTGGCCGCAATTATTTTGTTTGATATGTGTAAACTTTCTTCGCTGGCCCTTTCAATCAAAGAGTTGTACCGAGCTAAGAACATGCTTGTGGCTTAGGGTGTTTGAACATATTCACACAGGAAGGTTTGAAGATACATGTGCACTATGGAATTCACACATGTGCCACTTTCAATAAACAAACTCACTGTTGAAGATAAACTAAAGATAAATCAATCCATGGATCCATTCAATCCATGAACCTCGGTGCTTTCACACCCAATCCATGGACCCGGTGGATCAGGCTTCTCCTGGCAAGGCAGAGGGCGGTGCAGACGGATGGGTAAGTTGGTGAAGAGTTTGCATAATTATAATTATATAATATAATATTATATATATATATATTCTATTATATGATACGTATATACATTATATTGATGGAGCTTATGGGGTTGATTTGAATTGTTCCTGTTTGTTTGTTTGTTCTCTCTTTCTCTCGCTCTCTCTTTCTAATATATATATATATATATACATTGTATGCAAAATCACCATTGTTGTCCATCAAAGCCATTCTGAAATGCCCCAGCATTGGTTTCAGGGAAAACATGCAGGGAACCCCTATCTTTGGGTGGTCATAACCCCAGCTTCGTTCAGATTTTCACCCAAACAAACCTCTGAGAATATGAAGATAGGCCGAACATTGACCAGGGAGATGAAACAATAAAAACTATGAGTAAATGATGATCACAGCAATTATCATACTTGAAGTAATACAAATATCACCCTTGCCAGCCCTTACCAAAGTATATCCATGTTTTTGATTTAATGATAACAAAAGTAACAATGATACAATGTGGTGCCCCCCAGTTATAAGTTGATTTGTGAGACCCGATTAAGTAGCTCAACATATCTACCATAAATCCAATCGTTCACCTGCTGAACCAAATAATAGCGATTCCAAAGCCAAACTTGGACACCACATCTATCCCCAAATACATGGTTGAAATACCCATTAATCATCATTCATTAGTCAACCGTTCTGGATATCTACCATGAATCCTACATGGTATTTCCATTAGTTGATCTATTAGTAGATAAATTTCATCATTAATTCAACATTCAGTTAATCTACAAGGTGGGGCCCCCTAGATAGCTAACTTGGTTTATAACTTCAATAACTATGGTTTATGGTACTTATAACTATAGTTACTGGGGCTTATAAACCAACAAACATATCTTGGGGGCCTCACATTGTACCATTAGTAAATCCAAGCTCACCTACTGAACTAAAGCTACTTTTTTCTTGCGGACGCCTCGAGGCGGCGCGCTCCAAGCGGCGTAGCTCGCGTGGCTCTTTGAACCAGGCCGACCTCTGGGAAGGCTCCAGGTCAGGCAGATTCCGTTCATTTTTAGGACAAAAAGAGGGCCCCCCCAGTGATGGCTATGTTGGTTTATAACCCCCATGAATACCATAGTTATATATATATATGTATATGTATATAGGTATCATAAACCATAGTTATTGGAGTTATAAACCAACTTGGCAATCTAGGGGGCCCCACAAAGTGGGAACCATCCAATGTTAGGGATATTTTTAGATCTAATTTAGTTTTACACGGGGAATCATCCCCAAAAAATTGTTTGATTTCTGATGTAGGAATTATTGGAATTATTGGAATTTGCTCAGAGAATATGTAATGAGAATTCTATCATATCTATCTCTAATTTCTGATGATCATTTTTTTCACAAAAAATGCATCAAGTTGAACAAACATGCATAATGATAGTGAATGATCATCCAGGTGCTGGAATGATACACCAGAAACTGGCAAACCCGCTGGTCACGCAGTCACATAATGCTGGAAACATCTGGGGTGGGTGGCTAAATGTGATTTCAGAAGGAGTGACATGGGCATTTTGGATCACTTTAAAGGGTTGGGCTTCATACTGGATAAACTGATTGGCTTAGTTGTTTTAATCAATGAGAATTTCAGGATCCTAAAATGGAGGTACCTACCATATATAAGGCCTATATAAGGCCTATGTAAGTGAAATACCCATTGATTTTAATGTTTTTTTTCAGCCATAGCCAGATACAGCAGCGGTATCTTTTGCCGTGGAATCTCCTTGTGGATGTGGACAATGCGGCCGCCTAAACATTGGTTAAGCCTGGTGGTGACCCAGGCTTTGATCTATCCCTAAGGTTATAAACTGACTTCCAACCGGGGTGCATCCAAAAAATGCAACAATCCACCCTTTTTGAGTTGCTATCCCCATGTATTTTCATGTAAATTAACGAAGCCGGAGATCTGGCGCGCTCGCCCAGGTCTTTCTGAGGCCTTTAGATCCTCTGAAAGCGGAAAAAACTGAGAGCTGAGCTGGGGTCGCATGGTCTTTTAAGGGTGGGGTCGCATGGCCCAACTCACGAGGCTTTGGCATGTTTTTTTAGAACGCCAACATAGGCTTTATTAGCATTGCAAATGAGAAAGATTCGAAGATCAATATTAGATGGCATTACTAATCCTGGTCCATTTGTCTGACATTTCTCCTTGAATCTTTGAACGAATAAAATGACCCAGGCCCTGGTATTCTCCAGCCATATTAGGCATTTCAAGATCCACTTTGACAAAAACGCCCGGCTAGTACCATGATTTTCGACATGAATAGTTCATTGTAGTTCATCCCCAGAATGTCACGGTCTAAGAGTCTAAACATGTCTAAACCAAAGTTTTTCATAGATAGAAGTGCTAGTGGTAAGTTAGTGAAACCTCTCAGCTGGGCAAAATCACCACATCCTGTAGCTGTAGAGCTTTGCGTCCTGCCAAAGGCAGACCTGGTGGCTTCTTCAGCCTTCCTCATAGTGGTTGATGGTCGAGGGCCGCAGGCGAAGTACAAGTTTCCATGGCCGGAAACGCAGGCGATATCTTTTTTAGAGCATTGCTAGCATGCAACATTATAAGGATATCTAGAGATATCTATAGTCTTAGTATGTCTTAGTGGAATCTCATACTGTAGGTCTTGCTATGACAGACTTTCTATGTTGTTCTTGGACCGATTTCGCCTGGCACCGCATGATCTCAGCTTTTGGGGGCTGGCTGACAAAGTTGAAGCGGTCGGTGAAAAGTGGGCCCCACTGAACTTTCGACCACATTTCGAGGCAAAACCTATCCAAACCTGGGCGGACCCCTGGTGACCAACAGGTTGATACAATATGTATCATCATGGTTCCTGTGTATACACGGCGATATCATGCAACATCTGATTGCAGTGGAAACATCCCCTAAAAATTGGGATGAATTGGCGATTACATCTGTGTGTGATTTTGATTGCCAGAGCACTGATGCAGAATTATGCAAGATTCCTCTCAACAAATGCAACAGGTTCAAGCAGGGAGATTTTACCGTTTTTTAAATGTTTGTTACATTTAGATTGATTATGTTCCTTCAACAACGAAAGTTATAGTCAGTTGTATTGTCCATTTCCACTTACAGTTACCTGTATTTGGAGGTTTCCTAAATTTGGGGTACCCCCAAATCATCCAGTTTATTTTGCTGTTTTCCATTATAAACCATCTATTTTGATCTATTTTGATCTATTTTGGGGATCCCCAATTTATGGAAACCTCCAGGATATTCCTGATGGCCGGGTGGCTCAAAGCAATCATTTTTTACGGGCCATGGGTTAGCTTCACGTCCCATGGAACGGCTAAGCGCAAGCCAATGGAGGTGTCATGGCTACCGAATGCTCTGGCGTCATCAAACGTGGCTGGAAAATCCCCGAAGGAAATGGAATTACCAACTGGGATAGTTACTATAAACCATAGTTAGTTATATAATAGTTATATCATCCCACTTAGAAATGGGATATAAATACGTGATACCCTCTGGTAATGACTCTTACATAGCTATTGAAGCCATGGCCCATTTAGTTCGTGGACTTACCCATTGATAGCATGGTGGATCTTTCCATAGTTATGTAAACGTTTACCATTTTGGGTATCACTGGAGGTCTTGTCATGGGAAAATCATCCAACTAATTGTTTCGAATTGTTTCCATTGCCATGATGACACCAGCACAGAACGGAAAACTTGCCATGTTCAACGGCCTCAACCTATGGATCCTATGGTTTCATAGCCAGGATTCAAGAGTGAAGTCATTGGTGTACATCCCCAAGCGACTGGATAGGTAGTGTAATCAGTGTAATCCTTTTTTTTTGCTATGGAAAAGAACAACAACTAGCAACAGATGACATTTTTTGTGGACTACCAAAGGTTGACCATGTGTCGCATGGGTAAGAATCATGCAACCTCAATATCCTGCAAGATTTTTGATCAGATCCGAAAAGGACGATTGTTCCATGTGTAACTGCGTCCAGTTACAGCCGTGTTCGCCCCATTTGGGCGTTGTGTTTTGGAGCGAACATGTTTTTGGTGGTTCACGGATAGGGTATACCTTCGTATACCCCAATGTTTTGCGATTTTTCCATATTTCCCCCCAAAAAGAAACACAACGCGATGAAGACAAACGGGTTTTCCCGTTGTGCGTTCACTTCCCCATCGTTGTGATTTTTCCAGGGATGGACTCGATGGAATCTGTCGACATTGGACGAATTGCAAGAACCCTTTGACGCCTTTCAAGGCGGCTGAGTTGACCGACTGATTTAGCCGTGATTTACACCATCTGGGGCCGGTCTCGCAAAGCTGTAGGCTTAGGGTGGGAATAGAACGGATGTGAGTCATAGAGAAATTGCATTCATTTGCCGTAAAAATTATTTGCTGATAATGGAAGCATTGGATTCCACATGCAAGACATGTAGGATACTTTCAAACATGGAGACTTCATGGTTTGAGGCTTACAATTTGTGTGAACATGTTCATGAAATGTGCGTAATGTTGTACACCCAATACTCAATGAACATGAAAACATTAACAAATCATCCCCAACCCATTATAGGTTTATAGGTTTATTATTGGGGTTCTGGCATTTGAATGATACATTTCTATACATTGCAATGACATGTCTATACATTTATATACATTTATTGGGTTTAACTGACATTTCAATGACATTGCTATGTGTTCTTGATCCCAGATGCGAAATCTCAGGGCGTTTGGCCCAAAAACATCACCAGGCTATGCGGAGAACTGCAAGCCGTGTGCTTTGCCACTGGGATGAGCATGTTGACCCACGTCATGCGTTGCTGTCAAAGTCTTTGGACAGATTCCTGATGATTTACCCTCTGGTTCTTTGTTACATAGCTATGGAAAATGAGCCATTTGGAAAGATGAGGTACCTATTCAAATGGTGATTTTCCATGGCTATGTAACAAATAACCAAAGGGTAACAATTTGAATGTTGATAGATGTCGTTTTTGTTAACTACATCTTGAATCATTTCACCTGGTCACCACACTTCCCTTGGCATGTTTTGCTCTTCAGACTTGCTGGATGGGATGATGTTCCCAAGACTTTCATATCGTTCAAAGTAGTCCAACAAATAAGACATAGGGAATCCCAAATCGAGGCTTTCGTGAAACAAGTGTTCGCCAAATTATGTTGGTTCATATGCCAATGTTGCTTGATGTTGGTTACTTGTTCTGTGGCTATGCTCAAACATGAAGCATTCATGTACACAATACACCATCGATTCTTGGAAATGTGATCATTTTGAGCCATTCGCATATCCCAATGTTCGTCGACACATTAATAATTCATTAATACATGCAATACAGCTACCGAATCCCATTTTGGTTGATTTATACCCTACAGTAATCATATCGAACATAACCATAAATTGCGCTTTTGTCTATACAGTACATGATTCAGGGGAATAATCCAAAATATGCATATGGTTGTCAGGTTGCGGGAACAGAAACCCTGAAAGTAGCCCAGATAGATCGCCACAGGGTGTTTAATCATCTAATCATTTTCCCAGAACCCTACATTCTATAAACTAACCTTTCACTCTGGACATGTCTGGATTTGGATTAAAGACATGTTACAGTTTCCCATTAACTTCTAATTATGCATGGTTCACACAATATCTGTGAACTGTGGCTCTTTATTTGGTTCCTCATATACGGCTCACATGGTGCACTTTTAACTTCGAAAAATATCCTAGGATACCCTCTGGTAATTCAACAGAGCTATTGAAGATGACCATTTATAGTGGATTTACCCATTGGAAATGGTGATTTTCCATGGTTATGTTAGTTTACCAGATGGTAAATCTTTACAGAAATCTGGAAAACCTATGGTTTCTCTAGACATGATCTACATCCATGGTGGGTTTTCCACATCGAACTGTAAACGGTTAAGGCGTGGCCTGGCGCCCAAAGCTTTGGCGCCGGCAACGGCAAGGAAGCTCTGTGGCCTTCAACACAGGTGCAGCTTGCAGCCTAGGGGAAGTTCCAACATATCAATAAACCATATTACTAGGCACACACATATATATATAGGATACATAATATAGTGATTATATATACATATATATATGTATGTATTATGACTTATATATAACATATATATATAGTTAATAAACCACACAAGTAAAATCCTAATGAGATAGTCATAGTGATCGCAATCGTCCCCTGTCAGCATCGCCGCCGGCAGGTGCCTGGCTACTTGGTGGATGATTCAGTGAATCTCTGCCACTTTTCGCCGTTTTTTTTATAGGTTATTCATGACCATATAATGGGATATAAAATGGTTCATAATGGTTATATATTATATATCTATATGGCCTATATTGGTTATGAATGCCATATTTTACGACTTCCTGGTTACACATGAAATTATGAAAAAAACATAGTATTCAAAATAGCTGTTTTTTTCAGGTTGTTCCAGTTGCGAGCATATCATAGACTTACCCCTTAAAGAATCTTAAAGAAGTCATGTATATCGGAGACAAAGACGTCGCGTATAGTGGGCGTCCTCGGATGATATATGCAGATTTCACTGTCAAAGCATTTCTTGTACAAGCTTTGCAGCAAAATTAGATACGCAGAGGCTCAGAAGCTTTGTCATGGTCCAAAGCCTCAATGGCCATTTCAGGAACCTAAATTGGAGGTACCTACCATATATGTTTGGCCGATTTTTGAGGCCTAAATTTCAGGGAAAATCCCCACGAAATATGGCCTAAAATAGGCTCCTGAAATTCCCATGCACGAAGATCATCGTCCCATTGCGTTGTCCATCTACAAGGTGATGCCTCCTGCAAGTTGCCTGCCTTAAAGCCATAAATCCAATCCTTTTTTTGCGTACTTATTTCAAGCAACTTAGCCATCTTATGCCATCTTTGAGGTTTATACCATTTTATACCACCCATTTTTTTTTGAGCCATAAAGTCAATTGTGTATGGTAAACCTCATATACGTATAGTAAACCATTGTTCTCCATGAATCGTCCTTTTTTTCGTCCTTCATCGTTCAGTTTACT